TGTGTGTGTGTGTGTGTGTGTGTGTGTGTGTCTGTGTGTGTGTGTGTGTCTGTCAGTGTGTGTGTCTGTGTCTCTGGGTGTGTGTGTGTGTTACCTGAGGCGTCTGCGCGGGGCGATCTGCTGGTCCAGGTCTCTCTGCTCTCTCTCTTCTCGTGTCATTCCCTTGTAGTTGGACGATAAACCGAAGATGGGCCGCGACCACTCGTCTGCACACACACAAAACACACACATCATCGCAGGAACACACACTCAGACGGACACAGATCTACTGCAGTCAGAGTGTGTTCGTACTGATGAGTTTGAGTGCGAGGTCTTTGTTCGGTCGAGACTCTTTCGGGTGTTTGTAGAGGTACATGACGGCTCGGCCGATTCCACTGAGCTTCAGTGTCTCCTGACTCACGCTGGGCAGCTGAGAACAAACACACACGTCTCATTACTACCTTCAGTATATATAGAAATTTTTTTTTCTGTTAATATAGTACAAGTTCACTAAACAGATTAGAGACAGGAGAATTGCAGAAAAATACTGTACCCTCTCTAAGCCCATCCCAAAAAAACAAACATCCAAAAATGTGATTAAAATAAATATAAATAAATGAAAGAATGTATATTATATATTTATGTGTGTGTGTGTGTGTGTGTGTGTGTGCGTTTTTGTGACAAATGAGGACATACATTTGTATAATGACAAAGGTATAACATGGGTATTAAGAAAAGACAACCCGAAGGCCCTCCGAGAGGCGGGGGGGAAGATGGGCCTACTTTGACGGATCATACGGTAATGAACGGAACAGATAATGGCAATGAGAAGTTCCTCCGGAAATGCACATGTGGGTGGCAGAAGGTGACTTCGCTCAGAGGCCTGCGGATCCATCAAGGGAGGATGAAGTGTGGGAGGACGCCCAACCAGCACAACCACACTGTTTCGGCAGGTCAGACGGAAGGGACCCAAAGCCTAGTAGCAAACCATAGCGCAGCAGAACCCGACAGTGCTGAGAGGGCAACCTCAGCATATGAAGGAGAAGAGATGGAGGCAACCCTCGAGAGCGAGATGCACACTGTCACCTCAGAAGTCACACAACCAGGAATCCAACGCAAGCATCCAGAAAGGCGCATCAAGATCAAGTGGCCAAAGGCGAATATTCAAGAGGATTGGTGCAGGCTCAACGAATACCTTAGTGGAGTGCTGCAGCATTCTTTGCGAGGAACGGTTGAGCGCAAGCGAACCTTGATGGGAAACATCATATATGAGGAGTGCAGAGAGAGGTTTGGAGAGTGTACGACCAAACAAACCATAGCCCCAAGACAAAAAGGACTGAGGGAGAGACACATCGAGTTGCTCATATCAGACAGGCGTCACCTGAGAAAGAGGTGGAGGAAAGCAGCCCCAGAGGAAAAAGAAGGCCTCAAGCTGTAATGGGATGACCTTAAGCAGAGGCTGGCCAAGCTACGCCGGGCAGAGCGGATCAGGAGGCAGAGGAAACGGAAGGAGAAGGAAAGGAAGAACTTCTTCAAAGACACTTTCAAGTACGCCCGTCAGCTGCTGGATGAGAAGCGGAGCGGCAAGCTGGCCATCACTAAAGAGGATCTGGAACTTTATATCAAGAGAAAAGTAAAAAAGAAAAAATATTCCCCAACGCAATACACAATCATAGAATGTAATAATAAATAAAAAAAACACTTAAAAAAAATAATAAAAAATAATATATATATATATAAGAATATACATTTTTAAAAATTACCAACTTTACCTACCAACCTAACTCAGTCACAGACAGAATGTAATAAGTTATAAAAACATTTAAATAAAAGAAATAAATAAATAATAATAAATTGCAAAAAAAAAAAATTAATAAGTAAAATAAATAAATATATCCCCTAACTCAATCCACAATAACAGAATGCAATCATAAAAATACATTTAAAAAAATGTGTAAATAAAAATGAATAATAACAATATAAATAATGATTAGGATTGCTTTAACTAGTTGCGTTTAAAGAGACACTGCAGACTCACTTCCTGCAGGATCTTGAGGAGTTCCTCTCGTATCTTGAGCGCTGGCAGACTCTTATCCGGGAGAGGACTGATCCATTCCTTTATGGCCGTCATCACACCGCTGTCTATGAACGTGTCCTTCAGATCCTGCCTGCACACACACACACACACATTTCAATGACTCTACATTCATTAGCTTTTGTCCTGAAGGTACAGCTCAGTAAACACACACAGGAAGAGGAAACACTCACTTCTTTAGATGTATCACCACCGTGGGCAGCAGCATGAGCTTCTTCAGAGCCGGTTTCTTCTTGCTGTTCAGACTCCGGTCCTCCTGAAAAGCACAAAGACAGAGCAGAGACTGAATCCTAGGCATGTGCGGACTCAGAAAAACTACCCTTCGAAAGCTTGGGGTCGGTAAGAATTCGAAATGTTTTTGAAAGAAGTGTCTTATATAGGGCCCGATGAAATCTCTTTGATTTTTTTTTTTTATGTTTACATTTTTCTGGATTTTCTAAAGGTTAAACTTTAACCAGAAAGCATGTCTAATTAACTGAAATCACAAAACTTATACAATTTAAGAACAATTTAATAAAAGTTTAGTTTTTAGGGTCCTATAATATTTGTTTAGTTTTTTCACAAATTCCGCTTTATTTTCTTTTTTTTTGTTTGTTTAATATTCACAGACACTAGTCCATATCACAGCTGGTTAACTGTACAGCCCTACTTTTGATCTATTCATTCAAAATTGGTAATTCTATCCACATTTTCTGCATTGCGGAAATCATACTTCTGCTCGCCAAGGCTGCATTTATTTGATCAAAAACACAGTAAAAACAGTAAAAATTTTGAAATATTATTACAATTTAAAATAGCTTTTTTCTATGTGAATGTCTGTTAAAATGTAATTTATTGCTGTGATCAAAGCTGTATTTTCAGCATCATTACTCCAGTCTTCAGTGTCACATGATCTTCAGAAATCATTCTAATATTCTGATTTGCTGCTCAAGAAACATTTCTGATTATTATCAATGTTGAAAACATTGTTCATGTTTGTGGAAACTGTGATACATTTTATTTTTCGTGATTCATAGATGAATAGAAAGCTCAAGAGAACAGCATTTATTTGAAATAGACATTTTGTGTAACAT